AAAAAAAAAAAAAAATCTGATCATAGCATTACTTTACTCAAAATTCTTTCACGCCTGTAATCCCAGCACTCTGGGAGGCCGAGGTGGGCAGATCACAAGGTCAGGAGTTTGAGACTAGCCTGGCCAATATGGTAAAACTGCTTCTCTACTAAAATTACAAAAATTAGCTGGGCGTAGTGGCAGGCTCCTGTAGTCCCAGCTACTCGGGAGGCTGAGGCAGGAGAATTGCTTAAAACCAGGAGGCAGTGGTTGCAGTGAGCCAAGATTGTGCCACTGTACTCCAGCCTGGGTGACAAAGCAAGACCCCATCTCAAGAAAAAAACAACAAAAAAACCTCTACAGCAGCTTCTGAAAATACTCATGATAAAGTCCAAACTTTCTGGCATGACTTAGAAGGCCCTGATATACCTGTGTTCCTTTTCAGCTGCATCTTTTGCCATTCTTAACCTCAACTTTCTGCTCCAGCCATACTAAGTCTCAGTAATACTCAACCTCACAATTTATATAACCCATTTTCTCAGAGCCTAAAGTCTACATCTCACTATTTAATCATATGCTCTCTGAACTCTAATTATGTTTTTGGCACTGAAAATCATTGTTTATCTGTATCACCCATCAGACTGGAAGCTTCCTTGAGGTTTAGGGCTGTGGTATTTTTTGTTTTGGTTTTCCACTGTAAACAAATGCTTGATATATATATATATATATATGAAGAAGAATTCAATGCATATATATTTGGTAAATGAATGAGCAATACATCATCAAGACGAGTTAAACAGACTGTGTATGTGTATGAGCACATGTGTATCAACTAAAGACACTAAATTATTATTTGCTCAGTCTTTGTACCTACCATAATAAATGAAAAGGTTTTTTTTAGTTTCACCAAGGATCAATCTAATAAGAAACCACTAATTCAAATAGCATTAATTTGAATGTTTTCATATGGAGGAAAAAAAGTGCTAAAAATTATGTACAACCATGGTTTTTTGTAATTAAAATGGTTAAACCAGGGATAATCTAAGGAACATTAATATACAAAAAATTCCTCCAAAAAATGACTTGTGGAATAATCTAATTTGTACTTACTCAAATCGTCCGATACATCTTCAATTCCTGAAGCACTATCATCAGAATCACCAGTATTATCTGTACATGTTTGTTGTTTCTGAGATTGTGGTGAGTTTTGCAGAGCATATTTTTCTCCCTCTACAGCTTCAATATTCACTTTGTCCACAGAAGTAAAGGAGCTTGGAATTTTTTTCCCAATCTGTTGTAATTCTGTCTTCTGTCTCATGTCTTTCAACAGTAAACTGGGTCCCTTTTCTGCTTCTGCTGGTGAACTCAGTGCCTTTTCTGACTTCAACTGAGAACTGGTTGCTTTTTCTGCTTTCACTGAATTAGGTGACTTCAGTGATTTTTCTGCTTTTGCCTGTAAACTGGTTGCCTTTTCTAATTTTGCCTGTGAAATGGGTGCCTTTTCGGCTTTCACTGGTGAATTAGGAAATTTTTTTGCTTTGCAATGACTTTGATCTCGAAGGACTACCCCCAAATCTTTAGGGCTGGGAAGGTTGACTGCATTTACTTTACATGATTTAACTTCTGTTTTTTCTATACACATATCATTTTGCTTATTTTTTTTACTACTACTCCTATTTGGAGAGCTGTTCCCAATTTCTTTTATGGATTTATCATTTCTAGCTTTCAACATTTGATTAGCTATAACTTGAACTGCTTTGCTTTCTTCACAAATAACATTCTTCTTTGGTTCATGATTTTCACTTTTTAAGATCTTAGACTCTTCCATTATTTGAAAATCTGCTTCTTTCCAATTGTGATATTATAAAGTGGCAGATCTCCGGCAGTTTAAATCGCTTCAAATCCAGTTTAGGCAAGCACACTATTAGGTTAAAAGAAAGAAAAATCTGTTATTTAAAGTGGAAAAACCATTTTTTTATGGTTAGACATTAAAAAAATATTTTAAACTTGTTCTAAAAACTAAAGAAATAATTAAAAAAAAAAAAAAAAGCTATATGAGAAGGAGTTACAGCCCACTAGGTAAATAGTGAAATGCTCATCAACGGGATTCTAATGTAATTATGGTAATACAGCACCAAACCAAAGAATTTTAGAAGGTCGTTTCACGTTCCTTTAAGAATTTCAATAGAAAATTAAAACTTGCAATTGAATATATCACAATTAACATAAAAGGAAACATAATTTTAAAAAACACAAGAATTCCAATCTTGGCTGGACATGGTGGCTTACGCCTGTAATCCCAACACCTTAGGAGGTCAGGCAGGTGGATCACCTGAGGCTGAGTTGAGACTAGCCTGACCAACACAGTGAAACCCCGTCTCTACTAAAAATACAAAAACTAGCCAGGCGCGGTGACAGGCACCTGTAATCCCAGCTACTGGGGAGGCTGAGGCAGGAGAATCAGTTGAACCCAGGAGGTGGAGGTTGCAGTAGGCCAAGATTGCACCGCTGCACTCCAGCCTGGGTGACAGAAAGACTCTGTCTCGAAAAAACAATGATGTTGAGACTGGATGCAGTGGTTCACGCCTGTAATCCCAGCAATTTGGGAGGTCGAGGCAGGTAGATCACTTGAGGTCAGGAGTTCAAGACCAGCCTGGCTAACATGGTAAATCCCTGTTTCTACTAAAAATACAAAAAATTAGCCAGGTGCGGTGGCACACACCTGTAATCCAACCAACTGGAGAGGCTGAGGCAGGATAATCGCTTGAACCCAGGAAGCAAAGGTTATTACAGTGAGCTGAGATCGCACCATTACACTCCAGCCTAGACAGCAAGAGTGAAAGTCCGTCTCAAAACATAATAATGTCAAAAAAAAAAAGTGATAGAACACTGAAGTCAATTAGAACCCATTTTGTCCTATAATAGGAACAACTACATTAAGAAACATTAAATTTATCACACAGCACAAACTATAAACAAATGAAAATAATGCATCTTATTAAATTATTTCTATATTAGAAATAACTGATTTTGGCCAGGCAAGGTGTTTCACGTCTCTAATCCCAGCACTTTGGGAGGCTGAGATGGGCAGATTACTTGAGTCCAGGAGTTCAAGACCAGCCTGGGCAACATGGCGAAACCTGCATCTACAAAGAAAACAAAAATTAGCTGGCCATTGTAGAGCATGCCTGCAGTCCCAGCTACTTAGGAGGCTGAGGTAGGAGGATCGCTTGAGACCACCAGGCAGAGGTTGTATGCAGTGAGCCAAGATGACACCCTTGCATTCCAGCCTCGGCAACAGTGATACCCTGTCTCAACAACGACAACAACAAAAGTGATTTTTTGTTGTCATGACAAAAAGTGACCAAAAAATCTGATTTTTTTTTACAATTCACTTTGCCCTATACACCTTAAATTCAGATCTATTTCTAAACAAAGATTAATAATATGAATAAAATTAGAGTCCTTCTGCCAGCAAAAGCACACTGCATGGAATTAAAATGTACCATCTTTGATTTTACTTGATTTACTAAATTACAAACTTAGGTAAACATCTCTAATCATATAACTTCATATAAATACAAAAACTTACCTAAAATAAAGAGTTTACTCTTAATTTTAATAATCGCTCACTGTTGAGAAATGCTATCTATATGATTGCTGAGAAATGCTGAGTGTATGATAAAATATATTGTTTGCTAAGAAGAAGGATGGCAAGGGAAACCTGCCGCCGCCGCCCCCCGCCCCAAGCAGAAAACTACTTGGGACATTCTAAAGTGGCAGGACAATATATAAATAACATACACCAGTTAAAACACTTCTTTAAGCACGGGATATCTGACCCTGCCCCTGTGGTTCCCTGTGGAGAATACTTTTTAGTTTGTCTGTGATCAGTGGTAAGTGGGCACCAGCTGCCTACTTGGTATATTTTATGAGAAAATACCAAACATGTGTTTGTTAACAACAATCAACTGTTCAGAGAACAAATGCGTGGGTCAGAGTCTGCTTGGGGCCCTCAGCTCAGAATGCTGTCAGCCCCTGAGACTCTCAGCTCTGAAGGCTGTTTGTTGCCCCCCCCCACCCACCCCCCAAGAGACCCACTTTGCTTTTCTATCTGGGTGTCTGCTTCTCAATTCCTTCAGCGCTGCCTGGGTGGGGGTCTCTATGGCCGCACTGGTCCCAGTAGCTCACTGCAGGCTAGAACTCCTGGACTCAAACGATCCTCCTGCCTCAGCCTCCCAAGCAGCTAAGAATAAAGGCACACACCACCATACCTAGCTTTTTTGTTGTTGTAGAGACAGAGTCTCACTATGTTGCCCAGGCTTATCTTAAACTCCCAGCCTTAAGTGATTCACCCATCTCAGTCTCCCAAAGCACTGGGATTACAGGGATAAGCCACCACACTCAACTAATAATTCTTCTTTGTAGTGCAGTCCTCTCCATTCTCTGCCTTGCTTGTCCACAGTAATATTGTCTTTTACTTTAAAAATTTATTAGGTTCTTCTTTCTAAATTATTATTGTAGGAAATAAGAATAAATAAAAGGTTCCCCTTCAAAGCTTTCCTCCTAGTTCATTAGGAATAAACAACAGTTTCTTCAAAGGTTAGTTTACTTTAAAGCTTTTGCTAATAATCTCAAAGTAGCTGTTGTCATAATAATGAAATAAGTGCATCCCATGTTCTTAGTTCTTACACTTTAACCCAGATATTTGCCCTGACATGCCTAGACAAGCCCAGGCAAGTCTTAGGTCATAGCTTATTCCCCTTCCTTATTTTCAAATGTTATTGCTTCTCTAAGCATTCCTCAAGTTACTTCCTCTTTTGCTTTGTTCTCCTCTGCCTTTACCTCTTTAGAAAATTTCCAAGTTTTTAGCCAGTCAGGTCAAGCATAGAATGTGAGATCCGGTTCCAGCCAATGGAAACTGGACATAGCATTAGGGCAACTGCGTCAGGTCATGAAAGTTCTAAATGTCCCTGTCTCCCTTGTTCAGGTGTGCTCTCGTGGCAAGACTGCCGGGGAGTTGCACCCTTCTTGCAGGAAGTAACCCTGCCTTGCTGAGTAATCTACTGTCTCAGTGTAGATTTTTTCCCGATGTTATAAACCAGTTTCCAACAATCATAATAAAAATAAAAGTCAAAACCATACTAGATATGGTGTCAGTTGGAGTATAGCAAAGTAAAAAACTTTTTCAATCAAAAAAAAAAAAAA